TGTAATTGTGGATGAAATAAAGCTTATCAGTTTGCAGATAAAGTGACTGTCCAAGTAGACAATCTCAATGAATTACCCAAAGCTTCTAACACCAAAAATGGAGCTCCAGCTGTCATGGGCTATGAGGTTAGTACAGGAACGTCAACTATTTTCTATGTACCAGCAGCTAGCAATCCAGATTTGAAATGAGAAGCAGTAGGATTCACGCTTGTATGTTCATTTTATATCAAAAAGTAAATACAAAGTATAAAAGGTATAAAATTTTTATGAGACCTGTGTGCAGAAATTATTTAAGAAATAGGATCTTAGTAACCTGAGAGATTTGGGGCATTCAAGGATGAGTCAATGTTGTAAAGACATTACTTATTCCTAATGTGATCTACAGTCACAATACAGTCTTAACAAAATCTCCATTATTCTGTGGACACACAAGATGATTTCATAGTATGAGGAAAAGCACCAGACTCAAACTAAGCCAGGCAAATGCTGAAGAAAGGAAGAAGGTTGAAAGACTGGCACTACCCGATTTTGACTGTGTCAAGCGAGCCACAGTCACCAATACAGCATGATACTGGCAAAATAACAGAATAATTATTTGATGGATCAGAATACAGAGAGCAGAAATAAATACACACAAATTCAGCCAACCATCTTTGCAAGAGAACAAAAGCATTTGATAGGGAAATGATGGTCCTTTCAACAGATGGTGCTGGAACAACTGGACCAAAAAAAAAAAAAAAATGAATCTAGACACAGAACTTATGCCTTAGAAAATAGCTCTAAAGCATTCACAGATCTAAAGTGTAAAATGCAAAATTACAAAGTTTTCAAAGACACTGTCAGGAGAAAGATCTCTTAGTGATCCTAAGTTAGGTGAAGTCTATGTACACACAGAAAGTATAGTCTACACAAAGATCATAACTTGGAAGCCGTCCAAATGGAAATTTGTTCTGCAAAAGAAAATACTGAGAATGAACACGGCAACCACAGACTTGGAGACAATATTCCTAAGATACATTTCTGTTACAACAGTACTTTCCAAAATATATAAAGAGCTCTTAAAATGCAACTCTCCCAAGATGAGTCAATAAATGTTCAAAACCCTAATGAATGGGTACTTGGGGAAGAAGGTTCACTGATACAAAGTAAACATACAAAGGGACCTGAACACTGGTTTTCATTGGGAAACTTCAAAGTAAACTACGATGAGATACTAATACATACCTTTTTATTTTATTTTATTTTATTTTATTTTATTTTATTTTATTTTTTTGGCTTTTTGAAGCACGGTCTCCCTGTAGTCCCAGCTGTCCTGGAACTCACTATGTACACCAGGCTGGCCTGGAACTCACAAGGATCCGCCTGTCTCTGCCTCCCAAGTGCTGGGACTACAGGCGTGTGCCACCACGCCCACCTATACATACCTTTTTAATTAAACAAAATCCACAAATACAACAACATGAAGAGATGGTGAGGATGTGGACCAATAGGAATTTACGTGTGTTGATCGTGGAAATGCACACCTTCTTGACACTTTGGGAAAAAAAATTGACAGTTCCACATGAGGCTAACTAATATCTTCCCCCAGGTATTTACTGTACTGAGTTGAAAGCTTGTGTGGACACACAGCTCTGCACATGAATATTAAGAGTTTTAGTCATAATATCCCCCAGTGAAAGCAACCATCATGTTTTCTTCATACACACACGGAAAAGCACACTGGTAATTTCACACCATGGCCTATCACGATTCAGTGATAAAGAATGTGCACTAGGAAGCCACGAACAGAAGACAGACATGGAAGTTACCAAATGAGAAGAGTCTGGGAGGCCTCCTGGCCTAATGCTTCTGATTACAGAATATTCTAGGGAAAGTCAAACTGTAAATATAGGAAAAGGTTTGGTTGTCTGCCTAGGGTTCTGAGAAAAGAGCTTCCCTGTGCTAGGAAGGCACTCCGCATGGCATTCTGTTGGTGGAGAAGATGTACAGTTGTCAAAACACAAGAAATGGTTAGACACAAAAGTGAAGCTTCATATGTAGAATTTATAAATATAATCTATGAGTTTGTGAGATTCAGGGAGGAAGAAAAAAATGCAGCTACATTTCAAATACAGGAAACAATGTCTGTGGGTAAGGCGGAGAGGTGGGAAACTATCTTGGAAAATCAATAGAATCTGTAAGATCAAAAGTGAGAGGACTCTACGTGGCAAAAACATGTCATGGAGTCAGTCACAGTGGGCAACACCCTGAGACGTTTGCCCATGCAAGATGGAATTGGACCATGGTGTAGGTGTAAAGCACACAACGGATACCAGGCTTCTCCGGTCCGAGATAGTAAGATACAGATCAACAGGGAAGAGACTGGAATAATCCAGGTGGAAATGGATGAGGGCTGTGACACACTGTAGGGACTCAGATTTACCTTAACACAGATATGGTTGAACAGAAATATTTAGACAGGTAAATATGTAGGTATTTTTCCGCTCATAGCTGAGAGGCCCCAGTAGAACCAAGACCTCAGAACCAAGAGCACATCCAGAATCCAGACCCAACAAAAGGAGCCGGAACCTCTTTAACAAAAGTCCAGTGATATCAACGAGAGGAAATGCACAAATCTTTAGCAATTTGTAGTGCTAGAAAGAAAAGAAATACTCAAACAGTGATCAACAAGACCAACCAGCACAATCACAGAGTTCTATGAAAGAACATGCAAGTCCAACATGAAAATCCACAAGTCTATACCACACACATGGATGACTCAACGAGTTGGAGAAAGTAGACTAATCTCCCGAGCAACAAAATTCCAAACTAATGATTCGCCATTTCAAATAAGGGGTATAATTCCCCTGTCCTTAAGTGAACATGTTCACAGTCCTTCCATCTGGAGGAGGAGGCAGAGAGCAACCTCACAGGGCTGCAGGAAACCGGACCAAAACAATGTTTGGATAGGTGGTGAAAGACATCAAGGTTTTTGACTGGGAAGAAAGTATGAAATTGACACAATGTAAAAAATGTCACTTTGGACCTCATTAGATGTCTTCCAAATACTCCAATATTAAGCTGAGTGAGAAGAAGATAAAATCATCCTAACAGGAGGGCACCCTGGGATGCCTGAACAGCATTCCTTAAAATACATCTGAACAGTATTCCTTAAATCCTGTGTCATCAGAGGTGTAGACAAAGTGACTACAGGCAGCACCTGTGGGCTGAACTCTCAGAAACCCAGAAAGGATTTTGACTATTTCTAGCATAAAGTGATCATAAAAGTTCATGGACATAGAAATGTCTAACCCGATAGTAACAATGCATACACGTACAGACGTATCATAGGGTACCACGATTTTTAGGATTGCAGGGCTCATCTAAAAATTAATTTAAATTTAAAATGAAAATGAAGAGAAGGAAACAGAAGAGGAGGAAACACAAGAAGGAGAAGAGAAGAGGAGATGGGGAGGAGGACCCAAAACAGCCCAGCAAATTACCTCAGTCACAAGCAGGTAAAGGCAAGCGATGACTCAATTAAATGCATTATATTTGGTGGCATCTTTAAACAGAAAATTGCATGCTTGGAGAAGACCAAAGAAATCAGGGTGGACTGCGCATGTGTTTGATAAAAATGGGTGAAGTGTGGCTCATTATTAATCACAATGCATCCCACTAATGCATCATGTCAAGAAGAGATGACACTATCAAGATGTCATGCTTAGAAACTCAGTACTATATCAGTGTCTATTTTGTTTTACTGTAAATCTAATCCTGTTCCAAAAATGATTGATAGGCCTAAAATTCAATAGTAGTAGCAAACTCTAGCCAGGATACTTGAGCTGTGTTTTCCCCTCACTCTTATCACATCATCCTAAAACATTAGGTGAGACATAAAAACCCCTCCCTAGATTTTCTAAAGCAGGCTGCCTTCGCTCTTTTTGAATCACCATTAGAAGTCAGACTACAAAATTCCCAAATGTTTGACTGAAGAAACTACCTCCAAACTTCATTCTAATTCTGATATTGGGTAAATTGCATAACTTCGATCAAAATCTGATAGAAATCTAGAAATATTTCATTATTCCATGGCTTCTATATACGTTGGCTACAAAGATTTTGTGTCAAACACAACTTGTAAATTGCCAAAGCAGATTCCCTAGCAGATTCGATTTGAGCCCAACTCCAAGTTCCATCATGTAATCATGTACATACAGAGTGTTTTTAATGTAAAGGATGTCTTTGCACATGTGCATTGGTTTGGTCACTCTAAACTTCCATTTTTAAAGAGAAAGGAGACATCTGTATGTAGCATGACTTCGACATCCAGGATTCAACCAGGTTTAAGAAGGAAGAAAGCAAATGTTTAAGCTTACACTTGTACACATCCAAGAGCTCCCTTACTGGTTGATTTGCCTTACTTTAAAGGCAAACTCTCGTGTATGCTATTTTCTGCCAAAAATCAATATCTATTAAAGGCATTTAGAGTTGAAATCAGAAAAGCAAAAAGTCCTGGACATTCAACAAAGGGAAAGATAAGCAGATCAACCAGTTAGAGCATCACATTTTAATAGGTGGATCCACATTCTTTTTGGTCTATACAAGAAGCAGGTATAACTGTCAGGGTAAGATAAGACATATTAGTATATAAAGTTTATGAAAATTTTTCTTAGGAAAAAATTTACTAGGGATGGACCGTCTAGACTACAGATTTGGTGACAAGTATGTGGCTTTTCTGGGCAATGCTGTGACATTCTATTCTTGAGTCTTTAAGTTTCACTCAAGCATAGCTTACTCATGTGTTAAAAATAAGACATGCATGGCAACATGAATTTATGATTTAAAAATAAAAATCAAAAGAGCTATGCCTTAGTGTGTGGAAGAAAGAAAGACCTCATCTCAGCAGTGGGTTTCTATTTTGTCCAATTTAAGAGTATAAATGAAACACTTGAACCGGAAGGTAAACGGAATTACTGAGTTCAGGTACTGAGTGGCAACATGTCCTTGCCAGCCTTTACCTTCTGGCTCATTCTTGATAAGCTCCTCCATCTTCCTCTGCTTCAAGGTATCCACCACATCTGCTAAGCTGCCCTTGCGCCGCTCCGGGGTGCCCAGGGCTGTGCTGGACACGGACTCTCCACTCTGTCCCCCACTTTCTGCCTTCTGAGGTGAGGTAGATGAGTTGTGTGGGGCTAACGAAGACATAACTTTATTGCCATCGACTTCCTGGAAGAGAGAGCAAAGGAAGGGACATGGCTTGATACTCAGTCATTTTTCTTTCGGCAGGGCTTGTGGAATGTATTCTGTAGGTATTATACAAAACGGGAGTCCCACCTTAGGAGCAAGGAGCAGAGAAACTCAGAAACAAACAACTTCACTTTGCAAGCAACTTTAGGGGGTCTCATTGATTGATTTGCAAGAAAAAAAAAAAAAACAAATATGGGGCTTCTTGTTCCTAAACTGAGACAAGGTCTTAAACTAAATGGTAATAATGTGTTATCATCCTTGGCTTTCACTGGAAACTCTGAAGTGTCCATGAACAGGAGACGACACTGTCAACTGTGTAAAGCTTCCTCATGACCCCAAAGCATTCAGACAAAGTACACTCTATGAACCTCGTCTGCCTTTCTCTGGACGCGCCTCCTCTTCATGGCACCCTAACTCAGGTGAAGTCTCTCTCATGCACCTGCAAACCCCACAGCCATACAGGGCATTTCCAAGTTGATCAAGAATATCCAAGTTCATTCCCACTCCTGCTGAAGATTTTGTCCTATAATTATTCCTCCAAGGTTGGTTCCCAGACCTGCTGTGCTTTGCACTCTAAGGAGGATGTGTTCTCTAAGTTTCCTGAAGTTTTTGCTTCTTTCTAACTGTGTGTGCATGAATGAGTTTACTCTTAATTCTAAAACTTAGTACTGTTTTTATAATCTTTCTTCATTTCCCCCTAAATTTCAGGTGCAACATGACATCTAGAGTATATTTTACATAAGAAATATTTCTGGCTGGGCATGTTGGCACACACCTTTGGTCCCAACACTCAGGAGACAGAGGAGGGTGGATCTCTGTGAGTTAGAGGCCAGCCTGGTCTATGCAGTGAGTTCCAGGCCACCTGGGGCTACAGGGATACCCTGTCTCAAAAAGAAATATTTTTGGCATTTTTAAAAAGAGTGAAACTAACATGATAAAGAATATTACTTTTCATACTTAAAGGCTTCCCTGGGTCGTCTCTTAGTACCCTAATTTTTACTTTCACATGAAGCAGAGTACTGCTTATAGATAAAATTGTATCATAAGATCTTCGAGTTTTACTATATTTCTTATTGGTTTGGCATTACAATCTTCCCTTAAAATACAACTGATTAGCCAGTTGTGGTCTTTTAGTCCCAGCACGCAGGAGGCAGAGGCAGGCAAATCTCTGTGAGATACAGGCCAGCCTGGTCTACGTAGTGAGATCCAGACCAGCTGGGGCTACAGGGAGACCCTGTCTCAAAGAAATGATTATGAGTAAGCAAACAAATTATCCAGGATAACTCGTTACATCTGTTGAAACGTTCCTTCCAGACCTGTCTAAGACACACTAACAGGTTCTACTGAACCCAGAAAAGTGACTAATGATATGAACTGATTTACCATAACTTAGGGTGATGATAATATTTCTGAATAGCTAAAACCACGCTCAAATACTTTATTAAAATTTGTCATCCCAATTCTTGAAAATAGGGTTATTAACATGAGCACAATACGATAATATCATTTGAAATGAACAGATAGTAATGGATATAGGGACATTGGCTGTGGGACAAGTATCAGTTTGTGGGATGTGCTGAGGCCTGTGGAGAAACTAAGAACAAAAGAAAGAGGAGGAAATGGAGGAGGGGGAAAGGAGGAGAGAAGGGGAAGAGGAGGGAGAGGAGTGGGATAAGGGGGGGAGAGGGAGGAATGAGGAGGGGAGGAAGAAGAGTGTGAGAAGAGAGGGAGGAGGAGGAGGGAGAGGAAGAGGAGGAGGAGAGGGAGGAGGAAAAGGGAGAGGAAGAGGAGGGGGAGGAGGAGAGGGAGGAGGAAAGGGGGAGGAAGAGGAGGGGGAGGAGGAGAGGGAGGAGGAGAGGGGGGAGGAAGAAAGGGAGGAGGAGGAGGGGGAGGAGGAGAGGGGGGTGGAGGAGGAGGAGTGTGTTAATGTGTGTTAATGGACTCTCCTAAATCACAACCCTAAATGCCAAGTATCTTCTAATTCTCTTCATCATTAAAGAACCTGCCTGTGATAGCATCCTACCTTGGCTGAACATTCTATATATAATTTAGTTTCTAATGTGCCTGCATGCAAAACACAGCCTGCGTGAGATGGTAACTCCAGGTCCTTGTTGGTAAACGAATCCCTGCTTTGGGGGTTATTTATTTAGAAGCACACTCATAAACACCAACTTCTCTGTAAAAGATCACTGTCCACTTCACACTTCATTCAGTAAACTGATAGGACTTTTTAAAATCAGTGACCCACGGTGCGCATTGTCACCTGCCAAACAGAGAGAGCGAGATGTCTGGACTAATGCTTCGGTCGGGATTTTTCATCGCGTTTCTTTTCAGTCCTCAAGCACACAACCTCCACTTCAGCGTCCCTTGAAAACTTCTATTCACAACCAGTTCTCACATTAAAGTATGAAGAGCCTTAGAAGCAAGAACGTGGTAGCCAAGTGGGCACCACACACCCTTATACAAAGCATCACCACTAGGGAGAAGGTGTCCACGGGTGTATGAAATCAAGTACATTGAAAGACCAGAAATGACTTCCAAATAAACTGTCCCATTTTACAGGTTTCTTCTTTGCCACATCTTAGTAACAGGATGGTGATATCTTAAAGAGCTCAATCTATGTCACAAGGGAACAAAACTCAGCAGGAAAAAAACAAATAAAATTCATTAAATGCTGTTGCTGGTTCATGCAGGAATATTTATTTTATCACCATTTCACCTGTCTGATTACATTCAAGCCTCTGATTCTGTTAATCCCTCTCATGGGTGGTTAGCAGATGTTTCTAGAGTGGGGCTCCACTATTCATTTGCATGGGGACTATCCTGCTAAGCAGAGCTGGCTCAGCCTCCTGTCAAAGAGCTCTCAGTGTTCCCAGCTTCTTCTGACATCACCTTTCCCCACATGAAGCAATTGCTGCCTCCATCTCTTTGCTTTGCTGGCAGCTGAAACCTGGAAAATCAGCTTCCTTCAGCATGAAAAGACCACGGTAGGTAGCCAGGGACATCCAATCCCATCTTGAAAGCCAAGGCAAGCATCAAGATTTTGCAGGCACAAGGTCTGGCAATAGCAGCATTTTAAGCTCTCAGAATACACTTGGGGAACCCTGCCCCATGCTTCTCTAAATTGTATCCCTTCGTCACCTTTGGAAGCAAGAGACAAAGAAAGGGCATACCCCACATAAGCGTCCTCGCTGAAATATCCCTCTGAAAATACAGGTTCTTTAAGTAACTCTAAAGACGGCATTTCACTACAAACACTAAGAGAAAAATATTATGTCAACCTTAATGTTTAAATTTTAATTTAGATAATGTGTCAAGGAGGTATTACCTCATTTGAGAGAAAGGAATGGGTTATATGACTCAACCACATAGGCTAATTATTCAAATAACACTTCATCCTTGGCTTTTGACCTCATGAGATGCATTGTCTTACTTGATTTTTGGTCCTATACACCGAAATTAAATTCATACATGTTGGTTAAAACATTACATTCATATCTCCTCAGAATATAATTGAATGTTTTGTAGGAGGCATTCCTTAAAGGATCACATACGCATAAACTTTATAATCTTTATGCTAGGACTAGTTATGATTCTCACATAATAGGAACAAAAAGCTAGGAGACACAGACTGAGGGAAATAGCTGGGGTCACAGAAATGGGGCATTATGAGAGGGAAAACCTCCCCAAAGCTACTGAGCTCAAAGTGCTTGCTTCTAACCTTTGGTCACATCATGTGCCCTTCTTGAGAAACAGAACGATTGCTTGTATCTACTGAAAATGAACAAGATACACTGTCCTCTCCTCAGTACTTACAAACATGAAAATTTCCCTTCTAATATATTTGCCTCCTTCAGTTAAAAGATAAATGCCTTCAAATTAGTTAAACCGCTACGTTTTAGCTTTGCAAAGCTCAGTTCTTCCGGCTATCCGACACTAAAAACTGAAACAATATAGAATGAGCACTGCACAAGCACGTTGTCTGAGCGGTTAATCAGATAGAAATACTAGGTCATGTTTTTATAACTATCTTGCCCAGGTCTCTGGGTAGCTCTTTTTCAGTTAAGGTGAACTTAACTGAAACTTGTGTAGAGGAAATCTGAAGGATGAACTAGACTGTCATCAGTGCCGGGTTAAGGACCTTTGTATCACACAGGCCATCAAGTGAACTGCCAAGAAAGAGAAAAGGTGTTTTGTTCTTCAACAGGCTTTGACGTGGTTACATTCTTTGGCTAGCAATGGACTGTCATAAAGAATCACTAGGAAATACTGAAAAAAATAGCAAATAATCTTTTTTAAAAAACTATATTTTATTTATTATTTTTATTTTATGTGTGTATGAGTGTATTGCCTGCATGTATGTGAGTGCACCTGTGTCATGCAATGCCTCAGAGGTTAGAAGAGAGCTTCAGATACCCCTGGAACTGGAGTTAAGGATGGTTCGTAGCCAGCATGTGGGTGCTGGGAATCAAACCCGGGTCCTCTGGAAGAGCAGTCAGTGCTCTTAACCACTGAGCCAACTCTCCAGCCCCAGAAAATAATCTTAAAGGCTACATTATATATTTATTCCTCAAACACCATTTAAAAGTCAGTCCTATGGTACATCTTTTTCTCTGAACGCATTGTCTAGACTTACCATCCACTCTGTCAAACTGAGCAATACCAAGTGTAATATAGTCACAACAACCTAAGGAACACTGTAGACACATTCTCTTAAGTCTTTACAAACTTTTCTTGGTTACTTTTTCACAAGATTTCCACAGGGAACATCATACCATGCTTGTCTGTTCTCTTTAGAATAAAGATGGGTGGGAGCTGCTGTCCTAAGTACTCTTGCTTCTGTGTACACACTTACACCTCTGTAATCACACAAACAATTTCACAACCTATTTTATAGAATTTCTTTTCTCCTGTGACTATTCTCGCTGTGAACTGACTCTTTGAAGTCCCCCAGGAGCTCCTGTTAACAGTGAATTACA